TAACGTCATAAATTGCTTCTACCGGTTTAAGTTATAGTGGCTGCTAGTAACAGAGCTCAGTACAGTAGTAATTACAGAATTACAGGCTATATTTGAGCCGAGTTAAAAAAACCTTACAAGATTCGAATGCAACAATTTTCGTATTATTTAATAATTTTCTTGAACTTGATATATTTTTTATTTCATTCACAATACGTGACTATTTGTTGTTAAATTATCTAAGATATAGTTAATGCTGTATGTGGAAGGTTTATCGTACCCTGGCACGCACCCAAGCGCTTCAGCTTGGCTTTGTGTCAGACCACAGCTTAGGAGTAGTTAGATAATGCCAACACTTATGTTACGCAGTTCTGTTAAGAATATTATTGTTCTGACGAAGAACTTTAAAGAAGCCTCAGTCACAAATGTTTTATCGAGCTCAATTAATTTAAAACCATAGGTTTGAAATCGAGTTTTCTAACTTTTTTCAAATAATATTCAGGTTGTTTTATTTCTGGCACTGTTCCAGGTCAGATCTCGTTCACGATCTTAGTTTCAGTCATTGATATACATAAGAAATATTCAGGTTACAAATTTACATACATTCTCAGGTTATATAATAGTTCTTGAAAAATATCGTCCATTTAAAAACAATTCTTAGGATTGCCATATAACATATACGTATGGCTAAAAAAATATTCTCATTCAATACCCATACCTAAACAAATATCAAGAACCATCCAATCAATCAATTGATTGTTGTTGTATGATCGAGTAACATATCGTTGGGTATGTACACGTATTTCTAATACTATAACTGGAACTACGACTATTGAGATATAACATTTCTATAGAATTCAAATATATAAAATAAATAAAACATTTCTCCGAAAATTATAAGACTATGGGCTTTATTCGGCTACGAAATATTTTGTGTTTCTAACTTAAATTAAATCAGTAAAAAGTGTTGTTATAATTTGTAATTACGAGAATTCCGTTACCAATTTTTAGTTGAAATTTAAAAGAAATATGAAAAGTATAAATTAAATAAATGTTACTATTTTCTAAAAAGTCACAATCTTCACTGACACTAACTTCCGTGGTATTTTCTTCGCAATAACTTTAAAGTTTGTTAATATAGTTTAATAGTTACATTGTGTGGTAGATGGCACATGTCTGGCCCAGACCCAAGTTAAGGTCCAAGCTATTACGACAACGGCTTAAGAAAAATAAAAACAATTGTTGGAACTTCAAATCTGTTGACTTGTATTAGAAAAAATATTTGATGACTTCAATCGAAACGAATTGTATATCAATTATTTTAAATATTTCATTAAATTTGGCAAGTTGATTTGTTTAAACCGACACAGAGTTGCATTATTAAACATTTATTTGATGTTTAGTAAATTATATAGATATATATTTTTCTATGGATGTAATGATTTATATCTAAACAATACCCAAAGATACATCGTCGAATATTTTTCAGAAAAAGTATGTTAGCATGAATAAAACGAACGTTTATGTTAATCCAGATATAATATGCTCAGTGTGTAGGCAGCCTAAGAACTTAACAGTATTATGTATTCGGAACGTGTTCAACGGTTTCAGCGCCCCACTCACGGACAGATAAATGAAATAAGAATTCGTCATAATTTGGTCGGATCAAATGAAGAGATATTATTTGATTCCGTTCGTATTGGTATAGCAAGTATTGTTTTGATTATAATTTTTCTGTTTTCAATAATAATCAAATTATAATTATCAGATATATATTATACAGGAAACGGTTTGTCAGTCGTTGTTTCATGTCCAGATGATGGTTTTGTAAAGTAGAATATAAAGTACATTTAAGTATGTATGAATTGATTTTTTCGTGCTCAAACACATATAATGTATTGTTTTGCAATTTTCAATATATATATATATATATATATATATATATATATATATATATATATATATAGCATGTGTATCAGAATAAAAGGATTTTGAGGTTTTTAAAATAATTGGCTATCTGCAGTAAGAAAATCATCTAATAAATGATAAAAATCTTAGAGCGACATTCAAATAAAGTCTCTAAAACAGGACATCTCCAAACCATTGCTGTAGGTATATCTTCTATTTATTGTTCCGTTGTTCCGTTGTTTGTTGTACATATTAGATTGAGGTTTGACAATTTTTGCATCTTTAAAACATCCCACAACCAAGATAACATTATAGTACAATTTAAGGTTTTCGTCTCCGACTAATTCCAATCACCAAATTTTGAGTTTCGTCGATAGTCATCAATAATTCTGTGAGTAATATTTTTGTATTGAATTATTTTTGGAAATGATCCAAACGATTTGGATAATTGCTTGATTAATTATTAGGAAAGCGAGATGGGGTTAAAACGAGACGAGGGTCGGTAAAGATCTAGCGACATCAATAAGCTTTAATTGGCAAGGGCCATCAAGGCTATTAGCCTGTCCAATTAGCAGTACCTATCAGTCCAAATCTCGTGCTCCGTTAGAGCAAGTTTTGGTATCTGATTATATTTTGCCTTTGTAAGTTATTCTGTGAAGTTTCCAGGAATTATGAATAAGAATATTTGACGTTTAAAGTCAATTAGATAAAATGTTATACAGACGTTTATAAATTATGTACCTAGTCGTTGAGAGTAAAAAAATTATTTTTATCTCGTCATTCTAAATTAATTATTTTATTTTAACATCATCAAATATTTTATACAATCAATTAGATTTTTTCCAGGTTTTTATGATAATAATGGACAATGGTTAATCTGATAATAATTCGTTTGGTTAAATTACTATTCCTGTATTTGATTATTCGACTATTTAAACTTGTTTTCTACTTCTGTTTTTGGTTTCTAAATTGAAAACCTGTAAACATCGTCGGTAAAAACTTATTTAACTACGAAAACAAATGGGTTAGGTATTCCGCTGGAAACGCATTATTTGGTTCGGACTGTCATTCCAAAAGCAATTTTACTAGTGTGAAAATAGGGGCGGCATTCGAACTAATCTTGGTTTTACTGTTGAAAGGGGTTCCAGCCTTGGCACCCAGTCCCCTCTGTGATCGCGTTCAGCTGACCTATAAACACAGTTTCTCGAATCATTCGTTATCCTTCCCCTTGAATGTGTTACAATTCCGCTGATACATTCGCATTTCCATCACAAATTACTGTTTTCCTTCTAATATCTTATGATAATGTTATTTTGAAATGCTTTTTGCTTTTATATAATGCTTTGCAATATTTATTTTTTTCCATAAAATTGTTTACATTTCGCGTCAAATCATTAAAATTTTACGCTTCGAGAAAAGTATTTTTTGTATTTTTTTTATAAGATTTATAATTAGATACTGGTTATCATTACTCGTGTTATTTTATTTAAGAATAATAAACTTCATTGTTTAAAGAAGAAATGAAAAATTTGTTAACAAAATTTATAAAGAATAAAACAAATCAGAGTATTTATATTAAAATAAAGGTAAGTCCCTCTTGTAATTATAAAAACTTGAAGTGGAACAAACTATGGCTATATTATTATTTATGTTATCATAAATATTTTTGTCTTAGTTTATTTAAGAGTATACCTTAAAGCAGTTACTTTGAAACAGTTTTGCAAAAAAAAATATAGGTTCAATGACCGGAGGCTACACTGTCTGAAAACGAAAAACGTGAAATAAATTAAAAGAAACCTTGGACGCCAGACTTTGGAAAATTAATAAAAAGAGGCTTGTTATTATTTTCAACGATGTAACAAATATTTTCCTTCAAAGATATCCTAGTTGTATTAGATTTTGTATTGATCAAACTGGATGTATGCTTGCCAACATCAGAAGACAAATAAAAGCAATCAGCACGGTCCATCGCTCGTTACTGTGAGGAAGTAACCGGAACACAGAGTCTACCATGCCTTTTGTAAGTTTTTATGTCTTGTGAAAAAAGCCTTTATTATTATAAATATTAGGTAAGTAATACAATGCACGAAATAAAGTGTGCCTTGTTTTTGAAACATCACTACAAATCAACACTTACGTGATTTTTTTAAACGAGACCGTGTATTATTTTTATTTTTAGTAAGAGGCATCGTGGAGTTAGAAGAGCCGCAATATATCTTATTACAGAGAAGTGCATTGGGCACACAAATCACTTGCGCGCTTGTAGCGCAAAGAGAATGGACTTTGATTAAATAAGAATGTATGTTACTTTTAGTTTATGTAGTGTTTTCACTTTGATATAAAATTTAAATAATGAAATTACTTTATTTATTATGATTATCGGTTACCGATGATTTCTTATTGTTCTATAATAAAATTTGAATGCACGTAAAAAATCCTAGTATGTGTAACTTTACACGTTTCAGACTTAATATATCGGGTCATTTTTACCATTAATGCAATGTTTTTTTTTATATGTATTTTGAAAGATTGTTTTCAATATTTTTATTCGCTGACCTTACCTTTTTCATTTGTCCTCATGTTTAACCAATGCTAACGGTACATTTTACCAGGACCCTTTTTCATTCAGCTGAATTCCTGCCACCCAATTTTACGCATTCAGAATTGTGATAACCATAGTAAATATACAGAATGTGTGATTCAATCTAAGCTGAGATGTCATTATAAATCTCCTTATTTCCTTTTTCTTAATAGGATATCGAGACAACGTTAAGAAGGTTTAATATAAGGCTCTCCCTATATTAAATTATAAGTAACTTTTTTCTTTAACGTAATCTCAAATTTCGTCTTGAATGTTTCTATGAAATCAGAACAGGAAATGAAAGCTCTTAGCATTCAATGGATTCACCGTGCGGTTGCCGGGTCCATCGTTGCAGGGAGAGGAGCTTCAACAGTGCCTGGGACTTGCGACTCAGGTATAGGTTTAAGGGGTTCTATCTAACGCGCGTTTAACGCTTACCTCCACCGTCCCAGCTCCTCTCCCTACCTTACCAATTTATAAAGTGAATGTTAGCGTATTCAGTACTTAACTGTTTTTTTAAATTTTAACTCACTTGACATTGCTGCGGACCCTGGCGGTTCGGTGATGCTGGTTTGGGTCGGACTTTTTTGGCCAAAGTCTTTGACTCTATTCCGGTCACCGCTACAGACACCCTCGTGATGCCGCTCACACTTGACGATGATGATGTCGTGCATTCTGTTGGCAATAATCAAATTTTAATTGGCTATTTAATGAACAAATAAATTTATTTCATTGTTTGTGCAGTATAATAATTGTTATGCAATAAATTGTATTTCGTCGATTAATTTTAATGACATTACTTATTCTAGGTCATTCATTACTTTTATATGTATAAAATATTTTTTTATTTTTTAAAGGACAGCTCTATAAACGGGGTCTGGGGTCTAAAAATGTCAAATTTAATATATTAGAAGGAATATTTTTTGGTTACGTAATAATTAAGTCAAGCTTCTTGAATATGTAAAGGCTTTTATGACTACTGAAATGTCTCGGGAGTTTAGAAGCCGCTATGTTTTGTGTTCATCTTAAATACGGGATCTCGTTTTCAACACATGCCTCTCATCCCAAATGAGTGAGATAAAATTATGAAGATAAATACTCTCTGTATCTTCCACGCTAAAGTTCAACGCCCCATTTGTATTTGACGGATCGCAACGAAGCACCTATTTGAGCTGCGAAATATTCCCCTGTGATAAATGTTGACGATTTATTTAAGTGGTTGCTCGAAAACGCAACCGACCTGCGTAGGAGCGATACGATGTGGGATGCGGATTTGAATCGTTTAACTTTTAAAAGGGAACTTAAATATAATGTTAGAACTTACAAGGCTTTGTATTAAGTAAAAAAATAGTTTAATTATTATTATACATTAGTACGAAGGTTTAAAAGGAGCATTGAAATTATTCTATTCTTGCATATATTCTTTATGATTATTATCTATAGTTATGGAAATAAAAAAATATATAAATTTTATCATTCTTATTTAAACCGTGAATCAAGAATATTAGTTTTGTTAAATAGTTTCGTTCTCCCGATCACAAAGATTCAAATCCTAGTTGGGTCTGACAAAGAAATTTAAATTGAAAACCGTAAAACGTTCAATCAAATAACGCTACAAAGTGAATTCTCCGGTTGCGATTTCAATGGCTGAATTATACATATAAAAGCCACACAAATAAATCAGTATGCAACCTAATTAGTATTTTAAATTAAACGAAAATCTGTATTATTCACCTACCTCGTGATTTGTTTTGTAAATTTTCAATGGAAATACATTTTATCGGAAAATATTATGTCGAAAACTCTGGAATATTTGTTATTAACTCTGTTATGAAATTTCATGAATACTTCTGATATAACCGTGGTATTTATTGTCGAATTATTCACTTAGTCTGCTAGGTCTCAATGCATTATATTGATTTGATTTTGGGTTTTCTATTTAATTTAATAATGAACATTAAATTCATAGACTCAAACAGTATTTGTACCTTCAGTGATATCGCGTCTCTTTATAAACAGTCTAAAATATGAAATATTTGAATTCTATTCGAGGTATTGAGCTTAATACTGCATGAATTCTTTAAAATTATGTGAGAAATTTATTTATGATAAATGTACTTTTTTCAACAGATCTTTAAAACTCGTTAATAGATGAAATTAGTATTGTATAACATGTAATGCACTTAAAATTATATATTTCCTTTTAAATTGCCGTCAATGTTTCTGAAATTTGGAAAAGAAGTGTATATACAGAATAATTATATTTTGGTATTTATTTCATGTAGGGAATATTATTTGAATTTTCAACTTTTACTTTACATAAACACGATAACTTTAGAGTTACCGTGGACTCTTAGGAGTTTAATATTAAGGTCAAAATAATATTGCGAAGTATACAAACATAAATACGAAATAAAAAAATGATATTTATTCAAATGAAATTTGTTTTGAACATAACTATATTAGTTAATACATATGAGTTTATTGAAAAAATGTTTAAAATAAGAGAAATAAAATCAAATTAATAAAATGAATAAGGCTATTTAATATATACTTTGAAATTGATTTTTATAAAGTATTTTCAATCCATGTAGTTTGGATATGTATGTATACATGAAACCGAAAATTAAGAGTCTTTAGCAATGTTTTATACAATGATAAATATTATTATAGGACGGTAAAGATGAATTTATTATATGAATGAATTAAATTTTGCTTTTAATTGTTCTACATGCATAAATTATTAGTAATAAAATATGTAAGAGTATGTAGAATAAATAAACATATTATATTTTTAGACTCATAATCATTAGTAATAAATTGACTAAAATTTATTTATTTATATGAGAATAAAAAAGAGATATTATATATCAATCACGCCTAACACTGAACAGAAAATAGCATAAAGATTATATCCATAAATAATACAAAATGTGGAGCTATACTGGTGCCAAAGTGAATCTGAAAATGGTTACCAATAAATATTTTTATTCCTTAGCATTGTGACTTATTTATGTTTCATATGAATATCTATTATATTAGATGAGACAAGCATAAAAGTATCTCATCGGCTTCGCATCTGTCTTGTGACGTGTCTTTTGACAGCAAGCACTTTGTTCCGCTCTGGTTGGATACAAATGATGGGACATCATTTCTCCCTCATTCCATTAGTGGTCATTTCTGCTCCTTTATATAACTACATATATATACAATATTCGTTTTAATTTGATACATGAATGATTCTACCAAGACGACATATACGCTTAGTCAATTACGTATTAAACCTATATGTAATATCTGTGAAATACATGTTCAATTACTGTACACATGTCCAATTACAGAATACTGTTGCAAATAGACGTTATATTGTGTTGCTTGCTTTGATATCTGTCAATCAGAATATGAATCTGTGCGTTCAGCCGTATAGTTTTCACTGACGGCTAAATGGTAGCCGACGGATTTGCATGTTTTGTGTAATCCTTGCTGATGAGTACTAATATTTGTTAACAAAGAGGAATAATGCAATTATAATGAATGTAAAGAAAAATATTTTCAATGTTTCGTTATTTAAATGAGACTAATATTTTTCGGATACATACTACGCGGTTTATTTTTGTAAAAAACTACATACTCCTTACGTTTCGGCTTCTTTTCAGCAACCGTGATCACGGGCAGTTTTTTACAAAAATAAACCGCGTTTTATATATCCGAAAAATATTAGTTTCATTTAATGAATAAAACTCGCGAAAGTCTTAGATCTTATTATTTCGTTAATATAACCATAATAGCCGATTTTACATTTAATGTTTATACATTTAAGATAGCTTGTTGTGAGGGAACGATAGATAAAAATACCATTGTTAATTACATTAATATTTACATTATTTAGGATCTCGAGCTGCGGTTACGAACATAAAAGGCAGTTTATTTTATGTGGAAATAGTTTTTTATTATCTACATTTAATAGGTGAATGATATTTGTCAAGCTATCACAGAAATTTCTTAGGTATGAAGAAACATTTCAAGTATTATACAAATATGTTGTAACCAAAATACCAAATATCATAAATGCTTTTACTTTTATATTTGCTATATATATTAATACAATTTTTATCTTAATGAAATTTTATATCACCATAAAATAATTTATGTTCATAATCTTATGTTTTAAATAAAATATAAAAGCAAATTGAATGTTTAAAACGCGTCGATTGATATGCTAGACATTCTTTGATTGGAAAATGGATGATTATGAAATACAATTTCATTTAATATCAGTATGAAACTTGAAAATATAAATAATATAAAGCATTATGCTTTATAAATAAAAAACGTTAACACTTTTAATCATAAAATAAAATTTAAACATTTGATGCAAAAACTTTTCAAAGGTTATTAATATCTAATATTTATTTATTCATTGAAGTAAGTAATATATTAATTTATTTATTGATATTCATCGGATCTCATGACGATACGATTTACATATAATTTTAAAGTTTTTGAACGTGTTGTAAATTTATTACTTCGGTTATCACGATCGTAGTACATAGACTAGTAAAATATGAAGTTATATGTTTTGCTTACTAATGTTCTTCAGGCTGTTTAACATCAAATGAGTTATGAGAGTATCTGTTTACATCAAGTGTGTAAATGTTCGTTCCATCATGGCCCACTACAAATTTGGCCTTCATTTATTTTATGTGGAGTTGTTAAACTTGTATGGGTTAATGAGAACGCTCCTCAGGGAGGTTGTTGCTCAGATAAGTTCCAAGTGATGCGAAAATTTCAAGAGCCCTTACGCATTTGGGTTCGCCCTTAAAATGTACTTTTGTTGGTATTTATTTTGAATGCTTATCAGGATATTTTCTTGAGAATGATTTATGAAATATATTTCATTATGTTCAATATATTATAAATATTAACATACTAGAAGACCTGGCGAACTTCGTATCGCCCTATAATCAAGAAATATTTATTACGTTTTTTTATTTATATTTTTGGAGTTTACCTGTAAGCTATGAATCTCCGTGTTTTGAAGTGCGACAGAATGATTGACATATTAGTTAGTTGTCAAATCTAATGTCAAAAAAAACGTTTGTATGGGAAAAAGAAAAGGGCTGTTTTTATGGTTTTCCCAGTAATGAATCAATTTTTTTCAGCTTTTATACCTTCCCTGAACCTCCACGAATATTTCAAGACTAAGATAAGATAAATCCGTTCAGCTGTTCTCGAGTTTTAGCGAGACTAAGGAACAGCAATCCATTTTTATATATATAGAAGATAAATTGATAATGAGATAAATAGGAGACCTAATATGATTTTTACGCTGTAAATATTAGGACATCGAAGTTACTTGTTAAGAGATGATATAATCAAATTCCCAGCTTCTTAAGTAATATTGTCACCTAAAACATACATAGTTAAGCAAATTATAACAAAGATTTAACCCGTCGATCAAAATAAACAGAACCAAATAAAAACGCTAACCTGAAGGCGATAAATCCTTTTCTTTCAGTTGGAAAATTATGGCACAAAGTCAATTTCATACGTCACAGACTCAAAGCTAACGTCAAGCCGAAATAAACACATTAAGGCTTACGTATCATATAGAAGATATGAAAGAATCCAAGGAGAATGAATTGGTTAAGGTACTGTTATTAAAAATGATATTA